TCGATGTCATGGCACAGACTGGGGACGCTACTTGATAGGGATTATTCCCTAGATGTACATCCCTATACGTTCGGCCTGTTCAGTATTCGGTTTGGGTTCAAGTAGTCAAAGCATGCACAATGGGAGGTTTTTTTTCACTTCTCTCTACAACACTAAAGAAGATGGGCCTTCTTTTATGCTCATCGACTCTATCTCTCTACAACTCTAAATGATGAGTTTCTTCTCTCTTTTTCCCCATAACATGTTCTAGACAACATATAAGATTAAATAATAAATCAGGCCCCTTGTAGCCAATTTCTCTCTTCTTCTTCATATATTCATGCATACGAATACATTAATGACTACTTAGCAGCAAGTTACGCTATCACATACAATAAGGAGGCAAAGAGAATCTGACTTCTAGACTAGTCTGAGAGCCAATTGCTCAAGCGAGTGAGCAATATGATTCGTTGATTTGAGCTCATAGCTAATAGAAATAAATCTAAACGAGGTTATAAGATAATTACTTTCATCAATGATAATGCCTCTATAATACAAATTTCTCATCGTGCTAACAAGCCTCTGCTGATAAAGAAGACAATTCATCTCCAAAATAACATTATTATAGTGCATCCCTTAAGCCAAGACAGAGATCTTCCTTGCATGCAATAGCCTTTGTAGTACGGGGATCAACACAATTTTGAATAGTATCACTTTTAACATCAACAAACTGACTATCGTCTCTTTAAATAACAATTCAAAACCCAATATACCAACAACAGGAAAAAGAGCGACACAAATATTACACCCTCAATGTGTTTAGTTTACATTTAGTTTTAAAATGTGTTACTCTCAATTTTAATAGATTTTTAAAATTGATACATTTTTTACAATAAATGAATCATTTTAGACTTCCTTCCATTTTTCACTGTATTTTTTTTTATGGCTTGGAAATGCTTTCCACCAATAAAAGTGTTTTAACTATTCAACATTTTTATTAGCGTGCGCTTTTAACTTCTTCTCTTAAATACTATCTTTTGAACTAGTGAGTTAATGTCCGAGCGTGCCCTTTTAACTTAGTAACATCAATGAAGGACGTTGGGGAGTGAAACAATACAGGGAAATAATTAAGCATTTTCCATAGTAAATGATCAAATTTGATTGATTTTAATTTTGAAAGTCAAAAATAAAAATATACAATAATTAAGGGATTAAAATTAAAATTCGCCTCTTTCTCAATGGGGTCCACTTCAAACTCAAAAATCCAATTTCCACTCACGTACTCTCTCAAAAAATCCTTGAGAATACTCTCAGATCCCTCATAAATTCGTTAGTGCTTTATTTGTTAACGTTTGTCGATAGCAATACAGTTTGAATGTTCAACTATATTATTGATTCATTTTATCTTAGAGATTGACACTACAATGCCTATAGCACCATCAGGAGGGATCGAATCAAATTTTTAAAAGAAAATGTAGACGACACACTATTTGCATTGTTCCTTAATAGTTTCTCGTTTTGCTTGTACTTTTAAAATTACAATTGTTACTATATTTGAAATTGAAACGAGCACAAATAAAATCTCTCAATGCAATCAATGAATATCATTATATCCAATTAAGTGATTGAAAACTCAAAACTAAAATTCAACAACTTGTTATAATTGATAAGTGGACTAATAATGCAACAGTAGTAATAAAGATGATTGACTTTTTGTATGTACAATACACACACACCATATTTCAAAATTATGAGTTGGATATTCTATAATTAATAATCAGATGGTCCAATTCTGACTCATACACCCACTTGTTCTAAACCAAACAACATGAAAAGGTCTTAATACTAAGAAACCCTTCATAGTATTGAATCTGTCATATATATGCGATATTGGTATTCATTGTTACGTTCCGGACATGGCAAATGGCAATAGGCAATAGCCGCACCGCGTGAACGTACACGCCAAAGGCAGCTTCCTTTTCTGACCTTTCTGCACCCTACAGACTCGGCAACTCCCATCCCGCGGGGCCACCCAAATATGCACTAAACATTACACGGTCTATATATATATACATGACAAGTCAAATGAAAATGGAAAATACCTTATACTCCTTACCTTTTACTTTTTCTCACAAAATATTGATGTTGATATTTTTTGTCTGAGACACACAGAATGAAAATAACTAATCATTCATTACTACATAGAGGAGTAAAAGTGAAAAACGTACTAGAAATAAGAAGTCAATGTAATAGAACTCAATAAGAATATTATTATTCAGAAAAAAAGTGAGGATCGATCTCAATTGCTAATCAAATTTATCAATCATTAAAGATTTTAGTAAAACCAAATTATGGCGTTCATCAACAATTAACGATTGATATATCTAGATTAATGGATAAAATTATTCATCACCTTTTATATGGAGTATGATTTCAAATCTCACCTGAATCCTCACATATATATAAATGATCACACTTGTATGAGACTGTCTCACATATTCTTTTGAATCGTGTCAATATAAAAATGTAATATTTATATTGAAAAATATAATATTAATTAAGAATAAAATATTTGTTACTTATAAGGAAAACGTAATAGTTTTAAGAACAAATGTAATATTTTTACATTTAAATATAAAGAAATCAATTAAATTTTGTTATGTTTTTCTTAGATAAATTCAAGAGAGGAATATATCATTACTCTTTTGATTAATATACGTCCACAATTAGCTTTCTTTTCCATATACACAAACTATTAATTATTTAATTTAACAAAGATTAATTATATTTTTCTCTTCTAATTTGACTTCATATTTTCATTTGGTATAACAATAAAAGTCTTTTACTCATGGGCTATTATGAATGGATCCACTTCACCTAATATTAAAAAAATGAACTTATGTACTAATCAAATATAAAACAAAACAATCAAATATTATCATGTAAGAAATAAAAATTAGACAATGAAATTGTGAAACGTTGTATTACTATTGTAAAAATCTAAAATAAAGATAGAAAATTTATAAATTGTCATAATATAACAAAATAAAATAAAATTTATTAACTCTCTCATTCATGTTTTGCCCAATCATATATCTGGATTATGCCATAGCATCCATTAACTTTGAAAGTTTTCCAAAACTGGTGAAAATTTGATCTATTCAAACAAGATATTTTTCTCGTTTGAAGTGATTGACTAATTATACTGTTACTCAATGTTTTCACATCAAAAGATAAAAATAAAAAGATTAATTACATTTCAACCCTTTCTAACTAGAATTTTTATATTCAATTATTATATATCTATTTTTATTATAATACTTCTTATATGACCAATTCATGTTAGAAATGAATAAACCAATTAATATAAAGAAGCTTTTTAATGCTACATTTTTTAAAAAAGTGACTTTATGTACCAAAAAATAAGTAATTTTTGAAATTTTTATGGTGCTAATAGTATCATTATGCCGAGTACGGATGATATGAGTATTCATATTATGTGTTACATGCAAATTTATTGTAATTGTACTTGATGAGATAGACATGTTCAAAAAATCTAGTTATTTAATATCAAAAGTAATAAATTTACATATAACATAATACTTTCTATGTCCCATTCATTTATCATATTTCTTATTTATTAGTCAAATTATTATTTTAGTTTATTTTTTATTTAAAATTGTTTTTTTTTTAAATATGTAATAATATTTTTAATGTAGTTTATAAGTATATAAAAAATTATATTTTTTTTAATACTATTGACTTTATTACAAGGTAATATTTGTTCAATACATTCTCAATTTGTTACAGTTCATACAGTCAATATCCCACTACCAGGATTCGATCATGTGACATCTCCTTAAAGGAGAGACACAGATGTATCATCTGAGCACAAAGTGACTGACATATAAAAGTTATATATTAATACTAAATTTAATATTATAAAAATTTAAATGGTAAACAATTCAATTAATGCTCGTTAACCATGCCAACAAACAAAAGGATTACATATTAGGTTTGAGTTGTGTACTTGTGTGCACATAATTTGACTCCGTCCATCTAATCGTGGAGCATTTGACCTTAGTATTTTATTAGCATTCTATCAGTAATGGGTTAAAAGAAAATTTAAAAGGGAAGGAATTAAACATTTTCTAAAGAACTAATTTCACTTTTGGTCCCACGACTTTAGAGGTTCTATCATTTTTGGTGCACAACTTTAAATTTTTTCAATTTTGGTGTCTAACTTTGTTATTTTTATCAATTTTGGTCCTTTCGACCAAATTGACTGCGAAATATTGCTGGATTTTACATTTTAGGGGCAAAATTGTCATCCCAAGGAAAGATATTCAATATCCAAACAAAAGAAAAATCATGTTAAGAGAAATATAAGAGTTTGGCAATCGTCGATGCTATAAATCTCATAGATCTGTGTCTAGTTTCTGTCCGTCTTCCCAATTATTCTCATCGATCAAACACTTATAGATATGATTTTAGAGTGATTTTGTTTAGATATTGAAGATGTTTCCTTGGGATGACGATTTTACCCCTAAAAATATAAAATCCGGCAATATTTCATCGTCAATTTGGTTGAAAGGACCAAAATTGATAAAAACAACAAAGTTAGGCACCAAAATTGAAAACTTTTAAAGTTGTGCACCAAAAGTGATAGATCCTCTAAAGTCGTGGGACCAAAAGTGAAATTAATTCTTTTCTAAATAAATAAAAAATAAAAGGCAATTTGATAGCAGTAAAATAAAACTAATACTCTATCTGTCCCTTTTTGCATGCTTTATTTATTATTTATAGGTTAAATTAACTCTCTTTTTTTGTAATTTTATTTATTTTTAATTTTTTTATATTTAATAATATTTTTAAATAAATAAATTTAATATTATAAAAAATTGGTTCAGTTAATTGAGGCAAACAAAATGAGACGAAGGAGTATAATTGTTTAACGTTTAGCGCCACCCTTCAAGCTTCCTTCTTATAAAAAGACGATCCCATTTCTGAACTCTTAACTCTCGTCAAGCTCGTCCCCAGAAAACGATAGCGTCTATATAACTATCCTGGAGTACGGTCTGCATCCTATATTCTCTCCGGATTTCCGTACTATACTCCGGCGCTGTTCCGCCGGCACCGGTTCACCGGAAAACCGCCATTTTCCTGCGAGCATTTGAGCTTCCGGAGAAGGGAAGTGAAATGCATTAGAGTCAAAACGAGGGAGATTTTCTCTTTGTCCATTGAGATTTATTTATTTATTTATTTATTTGAGAGATTGTGTAGAAATTTAGAAAGGTTTGCAATGGCGCGAATGTGGTGGTTGTTGGTATGGGTTGCCGCGGCGGTGCTGTGCGAAGCGACGCCGTTTGTTACCGGGCGGGAGCGGGTGCACCGAAACGCGTATGCTACCATGATGTACGTGGGGACTCCCAGGGATTACGAGTTCTACGTCGCGACACGTGTCATGCTCCGATCGCTGGCGCGGCTCGGCGCCGATGCCGATATCGTCGTCATTGCCTCCATGGACGTTCCTCTTCATTGGGTCCAAACCTTGTAAGCTTCTGATCTCTTTTTTTTTTTTTTTTTTTTCCTCCACTTTTGGTACGGTTATTATCGTGTGATGACGAGACCATCAATACTCAAGTAGTCGGTCTAAAAATATTGAATACTTTTTTTTTTTTTTTTGTCGGGGAATATATTACTAACAAAATCATGGTTGGGTTTGTCGATAGGTAATTCATGAGTACGGAAAGAATGAATATAAATTTATATTAAAATAATAGAATTGATTAATTCACTGAACAATAAACGTTTTATTAATTTAAATTATTAAGCACAAAGAGTCACTGCTGCTGCTAAGAGACACTACAACTTATAATGAAAAAGTAAAGTAATCAATTTAAAAATATCATGTCATAAAGAAATTGGAAGGGACAATTTTTTATAGGTAAATAACGTTACTCTTTCGTATAATTACAAATTACATAAAAATATTATAAACTCAAGAAGTCAAATTAAAAATGTATAAAATATATTAAAAGAAAGATTTAGTTTAACCCATGAACAATAGATGAGATATGTAAAATAGAACAAAGAGGTTACTATCATAGATAGAAAGATGATGATGATTATTATTATTTTTTGATGAGAAAAGATGATGATAATTTTATAAACAATAAAAGTAAAAGTAGTATTTTATTACTTGGCACTGTAAAATATTTCGAATAATATAATATTTGGTTTAAAATGACGTGCTTTTTTATTTTTATTTTTTAATTTTATTTTCTTGATTGTTGGAACAAAGTGTTGGGGAAAATACGTGGATTTCGCATAATGCTAGGAAATCGGCATCAGATGCGTTTTGTTCGGGTTAATTTAGGATTTTGTCTTTTTAGAATGAAAAAAAGGGAAGAAATTCCTTGTAAGTCTCGAGCTCCAATTGATGGATATGATTGTGCTAAGCAGGTCCACTATGAAACGGATATTGAAATCATGCCATTCAGGGGTGTTTTGTTGGAAGTAGGGAAAGAAATTGTAATTCTGTAGGGAAAAAGAATAAGATGAGAATAAAGTAGAAATTCAAATTACAGAATTTGGTATGCAGTGGAATAAAGTAGAAATTCATATTACACTGCTTGATATGCAGTAATTAGAATTCAGCATTTTGAGGGAATTACAATTTGACGGAATTGCAATTCCTTCCAATCAAACGGCGTAATTGGACCTTTCACAAAATTACAATTCAATTACACCCAAATTACATTCAACCAAACACTCCATTTCTGGTGCAAGCATTCTAGATGGTGTTTTTTTTTTTTTTTTTTTGAAAACCTAGATGGTGCTAATATCACTATACCAGTCACTTTCTATTCAAATTATATCACCATTCTAACTTACCTATCATGATGTGTGTCTAAATAACTTAGTACGGCAATATCATATCACAACTGTAAATTATCTATTACGGTGTGAGTCACGCTCTATTTATTAATCTTCATCGTAATCATAGTTGTTCATACTGTTGACAGCTGTTTCTAAGTCTGATTGCTTGGAGTGGTTTTCTAACTCTCCATACTTAGTTTAATGAAGTGATTTCTTTATAATAATAAAAAAAAAACATTGAAGAAGTTTTCTTGATTGTTGAACTTTTATATATATATTTTTCCCTTCCCATATCAACTTTCAAGCGCAGTTGGTGCAGCTGGATAGGTATTAGGGAAAACTGTTTACAGTGGCAAAACAAGTTGGGTGAGTGATGAAGCTGTTTTGTGTAGAAAGTGGTGGGAATAAAAATATTAATTAGATAATTAAGCCACAACTTTCCCAAGTGGCCTCACCAGAAAGCTGCTTTTTATAATTATCAATATAGTTTTATCTGTTAGATGGTAGGACGGACGGACTTAATTTGGTTATTATAATCACCTTTTGGAGCATTCCTGAATTGGTCGCTTCTGGGAATTCTTTCTTTAGTATAAGTGGTTCCCATTCCTTCTGATTCTGGTGCTCAATGGTTCAGTATTTGGCGATAATATGGGGATTATGTTCAAAGTGGCAAATTCTATACCAGCATTTGGTCCTGTCTACTGAGTTATTGAGTTACCATAATTTACATTCTTCCAAATGTTCTATCGAGCCAGGGTATGGGGGCCTTTGGGGTTGGAGATTCAACATTTTGGGAGAAGATACCTTTGGCTTTGGACGATCAGGTTGTGATTGTAAATTTATTCTGTTTTTGGGTCTTATCAAGCGAGCAAAGCCATGGAAATGAGGGCAATGAATGAATATTCCTTGTTGCCTCAATGTCTTATGATGTCTACCTTAGCTTGCTTTTTGATGGTTGATTCTTATTCTTTGTCTTAGATATCATCAGAAAACAGAGCTGGCAGTTAATAAGATATTGTGCCGGCCAATCACATCAAACTTATCAACACAACTACACTTAAAAAAATATATCCATTTGTTATTGGCTTTAGGTCATCAATATTGTTTATTGCAATTTTTAATAAGCAATTATAAGTGCAGTCCCTTGCCTTGGTGGGTCAGACTGAATGGCTTTTTAACTATCAACTGCCCCTTGCAATGTGTATTCTACTATTCTTGCTTGATATCACTTTTAGAACGTTTGATTGGGAGGAAGGAATTAGAGAGGAATCGAATTATATTTTGGTGGGAAAAGAATAAAATGAGAATTTAAATTACATTATTTAATAGACATGAATGAAATGATTGAGAATTGGAAGGGAAAAAATGAATAAAGACTAAAATACTCTTATATAATAATAATATGATAACAAATAGAAGGGTAAAATAGTCATTTACCATGGAATTTCAGTTTCACAAAGTGTAGAATTGCAATTCTTAGGCGGGATCCTAGGAATTGTAATTCCATGGTTGGAGGGAATTACAACCATATTACAATTCCATGGAGTTTGGTAGGAATGGAATTACAATTTCATCCTATAGAACACCTATTAGTATTTGTTAAGAGTCTTACATTGAAAAAATAATAGAGAATATATATGTTTATAAGGCTTAAATTAAACTAAATAATTGATTAGACTCAATTTTTAGTATGGTTTAGTTCAGGTGTATTATAGTAAAGTTGAGTTAAGTGACTCAGCATTTCTAATGCACCAGGAACAGAATTTTTGTTTCGATGGTTTGAACTTTGAACCCGCTTTATGAACTTGGTAGTACTAACTAAGTTATTCAACCTGTCCTCCACACTAAAGCAACAGAAGATTGTTAAATGAACAATCTGTGAAATAACAATGCATTCCACATGTGATGTGCAGTGAACAGGAAGATGGGGCAAGGGTAGTGAGTGTCGAGAATCTGAACAATCCCTACAAAACCCAGAGCAATTTTGATTGGAGATTTAAGTTAACCCTGAACAAGCTCTATGCCTGGAGCCTAGTGGATTATGAGAGAGTTGTAATGCTTGATGCAGACAACCTTTTCCTTCAAAACACGGATGAGTTATTCCAATGTGGCCACTTCTGCGCTGTCTTCATTAATCCCTGCGTCTTCCACACCGGGCTCTTCGTATTGCAGGTAAAACTGGCTCTGATACCAAATTGAAGCATGTGCTTTTAAGCTGATAGTTAGATTGCACATTTATGTTTATATATTATATATGCTCAACACTACAGAGAACAAAAGAAAAGTCTTGATTGCTAAAGTGTTGTGAATTGCAGCCATCAATGACAGTATTCAAGGACATGCTTCATGAGCTGAAGGTTGGGAAGGAAAATCCAGATGGGGCAGACCAAGGTTTTATTGGGGGATACTTCCCGGATTTACTCGATAAGCCGATGTTCCACCCTAATCCAAATGGCACCAAGCTTGAGGGGCAGTACAGACTTCCTCTGGGCTACCAAATGGATGCTTCTTATTACTGTAAGTACTACAAGTCATATTCTTTTTCAGTGTTTATTGAACCATTACTCATTCTGAACTTCTTTTGAACTTTAGATCTCAGACTCCGTTGGCACGTTCCTTGTGGACCTAACAGTGTCATTACTTTCCCTGGTGCACCTTGGCTAAAACCGTGGTATTGGTGGTCATGGCCTGTCCTTCCTCTTGGCATCCAATGGCATGAACAACGGCGCCAAACTATTGGGTAAGCAAAAAAAAAAACCTTATATTTCTCTGGCTTATGAATGAAAGAAAGACATATGTCACGGGCCTAGAGTCTGGCATAGCGCCCAGCACCCTTGCAGTGTCCTGGCCCCTCCTACTCACCTTACCCTCATATGGTGCCAAACTGGTTTCCCGCCCCCTACCATGGGCTCATCAAAGGAATTGACAATAGCTCCGACCAGTTGTGCCCTTCAAATTGCTTTGGTTCTCTTCATAGTCAAGTCCAAAACTAGCCACAAGCTCCCCGAACTTAACCTGGTCAGCATGCCTAACTCAGCCAGACCTTAGTGTCTATGGTAGAACTACTATTGATGCTATTGTCGCCCCTACCCATTTTATGGCAAGCTAAGTTGGCCTGTTGGGTATGAAATATAGATATGTTCATTCATTTATGGCAAGCTACACACATACTTTATTCATTTGATAGCTAATGTGTTGATTATCTGATATATAGATATGGTGCTGAGACGCCTATTGTAATCATCCAAGCTGTTCTATACCTAGGAATCATGGCAGTGACACGAGTAGCGCGCCCCAATCTCTCCAAGCTCTGCTATCGTCGAGAAGACAGCAAGAGCGTCTTCTTAATAAGGAGTGGCCTTAAAATGATTGCCATATGGTCCATCCTTGCAGCCTACATAGTCCCATTCTTTGCTATCCCTTGCACGGTTCATCCACTCGTGGGGTGGAGTCTCTACTTGCTCGGGGTCTTCTCGCTCTTGTGCATAGCAGCGAACGCGTTCCTCTTGCCAATGCTTCCCGTTTTAGTCCCGTGGCTCGGGTTCCTTGGTGCCCTTCTGGTGATGGCATATCCTTGGTACTCTAATGGGGTGGTGAGAGCTCTAGCTGTCTTTGCATACGCTTTCTGCGTGTCCCCGGTTGCCTGGATTGCCTCGGGGAAGATCTTGGCTTGCCTTAACGTGTCGGTGGAAAGGGAAGGTTTCTTGCCCAGGCTAGCTGAATCTGCACCATCTTCTGGCTTTAACAAGCTGTATTGACAGTCTGGGAAGTTAGAGTTTTGACTGTAAGTGTGAGAAATGAGAGTTTTTGACAGTCTGGGAAATGAGAGTTCTTTAGATGAAGGTTTAACTGTGCTGTGATCCTCAACCTGTACATACAGGCACTGACTATGATCAATGCATTGATTATTTTTGTAATTTCTGCAACTATTACACAGATTCATCAAATTTTAATACAGTATATAATAATGATTGATTTTTTTTATACTTTTGGTCCAACGACTTTAATTTTGCAATATTTTCATATATAATTCTCAACTATTTATTTTCTCAATAGTAATCATTACTTTTAAAAATAATATATAACTTTAGTCATTTCAGCAAGTTTTTTGACCAAACACTACCTACAAATTTGTCAAAAAATAACAATTCTAGTAATATTTAGCTGAAATTTATTGAAAGAATTAAAAGTGATAAACAAATTGTAGTCAATTGCTTGATAATAAAAAGGAATAAAGATGAAATTAACAATTGAATAACATAAAAATACAACTGAGTTATCTAACTCAAAAAATTGCAATTGACCCCTTGAATAAGCCAAATTCGTGTAATTGGTTCAAAATCAAATTATGTTTACGTTAATCTTTAATTTTTTAAATATTCAAATGTAATAAATTAAACAGAACCCCAACTCCCCTCCCCTTCATATATGGCTAGAAGAGGCTTTTCTCCATCAATGGCACGCAGACAAAGGGAAGGAGGTTGGGGTTTTAATTTTTAAAATAAATTGTGTAATATTTAAAATTGATTTTAAAAACTTTATTTAATTGTTAAATTTTAATATACATATGAGTGATTAATCTGGAGAACAAATTAATTTTAATTCAATTTTAGGGAACTAATTGTAATTTTTTGGGTTAAATGGCTCAACTATATTTTTATATGTAATTTAGTAGTTAATTTGACTTTTATTCTCATTATTATTAAAAATAATAATAAACTATTAGTGAGAATGTTATAACAAGTTGAAGAATTAAGTTTTCAAAAAAAAAAAAAAAAAAGTTGAAGAATTAAAAATGGAAATTGCCCTTTTGTGATTTTTTTTCTTAGCAAAATATACGAATAAGGAGGGAATTTTAAGGAACATAAAAAGGCGTTTGCTAGGCCCAAAAAATGATGACTATAAAAGCCACCTTTTTCAAATCACACCAAATTTCTTTTACAAAAACGCTGCCCCATGCAACTCCCAACCATCGCAAAGCGCTATAAAAAGCTGTCTCTTCAACCGTCCTTTTCAATACCGGTTTTATTTTATTTTTATTTTTATTTTTATTTTATAGATACGCGTAATTGCCTAATTGGTTTGTGACTTTGTGCAACGAGTTTAATGGATTGAGAGAAAAAAAATTACTAACTAAAATATTTTTTAAATTTTCTAAAACAATTGGAGAATTGAATAAAGAAAGCAAAAAATATGTTTACTAGCACAATTTTTTCCTCTTGAGGAAGAAAGGAAATAATTTTTCAGTTAGAAAATTAAAAAACTTTTAAAGTCTTGTTAACTGAACTTGACACATAAAATAGGTCGGTGGGAGTACATTATTTAATTTAATATCAAATTAAAGTAATTTTTTGGAATAAAGTTCAAATTGGTCACTGAACGTAACCTGAAAATGCAATTAGGTCACTGAACGAAAAAAAAAATGTGCAATTAGGCCACTGAGCACTCCAAAAAGTGCAATTACGCCACTGAACACTCTAAGTGTATGCAATTTCACCGAATAACAGGTTACTATCAATTTTAGCAGGTTACTTGCTTACATGGCAGCTGAGTTGGCATTTTTAATAAATTTTAAATAATTTTTACTAAATTTTAATAATAAATTTTAAAAAATTCAAAAAAAAATTTAAAAAAAAAGTTAAAAAAAAAAAAAAAAACGACCGGCCATCCCGTAGTTTTTTTTTTAATTATTATTAAAAAAAATTAAAAATTATTAAAAATGCCAACTCAGCTGCCATGTAAGCAGGTAACCTGCTAAAATTGATGGTAACCTGCTATCATGTGAAATTGCACGTTTTTGGAGTGTTCAATGTTGTCATCGCAAACCGCATCCTAGGCTCCCAGCGGGGCAACATTATACACCCGAAGACCAATATTATGGGATAGGGCCTTCTTCGCCAAGATGTCTGCAACCTTGTTATGCTCCCTATATATGTGGCCAAACTCCACAATTAAAACTTTCATATATATCACTTGAAACGACACATCCTTCAGTTTACCTTCATATGCTATTGTTACTTTTATATTGCCGGTACATTTTAAACGATCTTTAATTAAATTTCACTTTTACATTTTAAAAATGTAGGATTGTTTTTTTTTTTTTTTTTTTTTTTGAATACTAGTGTTAAAAATGTAGGATTATTCGTTCAAACTATACATACATTGTTGTTTAAAAAAATTTAATTTAGCTTATCTTAATCTAGAAACCATTTTAATTTATGCAAAAATTCTTTCAATGATTGATATAATTATATGGTTGGTGTTGAGCTGGGGAGTGTATAAAATAAACCCAACATATCTGAAAGTCAGAAAGGCTATGTTGTGAACAGTAGGTTTCAATAATAATGTGTTAGCTAGGGGTCTGAGAATTCTACAAAAGTGCAGGGATTTATTGTACTACATTGTTGTCTCATTTCTTTCCCGTGAACCTATAGTGTTTTACCAAATAAAATAAAATAAAATAATAACCCTTATACGGGCTTAGCTCACCGATTTAGTAGGGAGTATTTGAAAGAAGAAATCAATATTCAAACTTCAGCAATAGTAGTGAGGGATTATGTCTAAAGTGGACAGACACAGATATTTGGTCATGTTTGTCCAACTGTTGAGTTACCATGATTTATCTCATCCCAAACGTTTTGTCGGACTGAGTTGAGGATTTAACTTTTTGGTAGAAGAAAAAATAAAAAATAAAAAAATAAAAAAATAAAAAATAAAAACCCTTTGGTAGCTTTTTACAACGTTCGGAAATGAAAATACATATACTGACTTAATGTGAACTACGTAGGGCCAAACATCCAATGAATGCTATTGTTTTATTGAATAGTTTAGTGGGACTCACAAACCGCTGTCTGCATATATATATATGCTACGTCGTTGTTATAACCTATAAAATTAAGTAACGTATTTGGCCATGCCTGGACCATCGTGCATATATCATATCGCTGCATGCTCACATGTATGCCACTTTACCACCCCCACAACTTATATATACAAACCAACGTTGTTACGTTACCGTTTTATCGGATGTAGCTAACCATGTTTGGTATTATATATACTATTCTCACTCTCCCTACCTACTAAAAATAATTCTGATTTCAAGGTGTTTAGTAAATAGTTGTACTGTTAGCTGATTGTGTTAGTAAATTTGACTAGTTGATAACATTAGTGTAGAAAAAGTCTGATAATAAATTAACTGTTAGTTGGTAGATTATGATTACATGTAAAATGATTTTTTCAAAAAGCTTATCGAAAAAAATTATTTTGAATTTAATTTTAGCCTTTTGGTGCAATAAGCTAGCTGTTACAGAAAAACTAATTAATCAAACATTCATATTAATTGTTTAACCAAGTCAAATAGCTAATATTTGACAAACAAGTTAAAATTTGTTAATAAGGTAATAACTATGTTACCAAACAGTGTCATTGTACGTTATTATTTATAATTACATATAGCTAGCAATTGATTATGGTAACTATAAGTAGATCGACTATTATTTTAAAGTGACATTTGTAATATTTTTAAGCTTTATAAGTAGTTGAACAATGCAAGTGTTGTTGTTGTTTTTTTTTAATAGTGATATTTTTATGTGTGTATATATATATATATATATATATATATATATATATATATATATATATATATATATTCTAAGGATACATTAAAAATCACAAGTACAGTATGTAGAACATTCATGCCTAACATACTGTATGTAAAGCTCTTTCTGCTCTTGTTTCAATCTAGCTTGCATGCCTAACCAAACTTGAAAAGTCACACCTGCTAAAACCTAAACTTTTTATTCTAAATCTGAATTTTCATGTGTTAAACTTTTTAGGTTATGTCTCATGATTGATTAATCAAAAGAACTCTCAATTAACCAATCAAATGAGTCATTTTCGATCAGATTTGTGCTTCCGGGAGACTTATATTATTATTTTTATTATTATTTTTATTTATTTATTCGTTAGTGGGGTTGCACACAAAAATGAAAAATCTGACACAAAGTTACTGTTGAGGGAGAGACAAACACAGTGTATATAGCATAAGCCTCCAAGCACTTAACTTTTGGTGGAGCAAAACCTCCACGTTATCACGCGCCGCCCTATAACTACAAAACCAGGGAACGCCAGAAAATATGACCGTTACTTGCGACGTATCGTCCCAACTATAAATTCTGCAAATTCCTCACTCCATTTCTGCAAATTTATATTAAACCCTCCCCCTCACTCTCTCTCTCTCTTTCTCTCTCTACATTACAATTTGCATTGCTTGCATGGCTGCGAATTCCCTCACTCCTCTCTTCTTATTCTTCTTATTCCTGCAATTCTTCTCGTTATTCCATGCAACGCCATCGGCGCCGCCGCCCTCGTCAGCCGGCTGCGGCGGTTCCAGTAATAATTCTAGCAGCGGGACGCACGGGCACCATTGGGTGGGGCCCTCCGGGAACCGCACCATCTTTGTGGACCTCGACGGCTTCGGCGACTTCCGTTCTGTTCAGGCCGCCGTTGATTCCGTGCCGGAGCACAATAGCATGAACGTCCTCATTCAAATCGGTCCCGGTTGCTACGTGTAGGTTTAGTATTATATCACTATATATATAACTTGTGATAAAATTAAATTATCTCACAATAATTAATGAAATATCAACATTTATTGTATATTCACAAGTGTGAGTGTGTGTGTATATACATATATATAGTGTAACTCGCATTATATATTCTAATCTTCCTTGTTTGCAATTTCTTTGAGAAAATATTTATTTTTTTAGTAGTAAAGAAAATTCGTAGTCACTGTATGAAAATGCGAATATGCATATGATAAATCTGACTTCTATATAATAGCTATTATGTAGGAGGGTTGAAACGTTACAGTCTCAATTAAAAGGGTGTTGGCAGAAATATAACTCGTAACTTTAGCTGTCAAAAAACCACGCCTCGCCTAAAAAGTCAATATGGTGTTACTAAGAGTCAAACTTGAAACTTT